GCGACTGGGACCCTTTAAGTCTAATCAAACTAGGATAATAATTCAGGTATTAAAGAATTAGTAGGGATAATCAATCGTGCTGAAGTACTTAGGTTAAAATTAACGTCAATTAAGAAATAACCGCTGCATTATGAAGGAATGCGGAGGAATTTCTGATGGAGGAGAAGACAATTGCACAGCGCGATCCGCGGCGCAGCGTGCGGAGCGCCGTGGGGGCCTATATAAAGAAGAGACGAGGCGTCATGCGGATCTCTCTTGCTCCAGCCACGCTCCGCTACACAAGTCAAAGGAAAAAGAATTTTTGTCGCTTCGCTTCGCAAGAAAGAAGAAAAACTTAGGACTCTTGTGTTCTCGGGACTCTCAAGCCATGGAAACTACGATTGCTACCTCGATCACAGCCCCCACACAGGTTGAGTTTAATTCCATGGGCCCTTCAACCTCACATGCTGGAAAGCTAGGGTCGGTCTACACTACTCGACTTTCTCCAAGGTAAGTGGCATCTTATGTTCTAAATGTAAAGCTAGGTTCCTCCCAAGTGTCTGCGTGTGCCCAGCGCTGTTCCCCACGTGGCCTATAGATGTTCCAGCTAGGTTATGCCTAGGCAGGGCATTTTTAGGCTGCCCCAGACCTATTGTCCGACGATTAATACGGAATTCTTATACAGCCTTGCCCTTGCAGCCAGCTTGCCAGAATTATAGTCTGCCGGTTAAGCCCGGGAATTTTATATTTATTCAGCTCATCGATGTTAGTTTGCCGGTAATTTGTCCGCCGGTTAAGCCCGGATCCTTTTTGGGGCCCCTAGCTGCTGGATTGCTATTCATTCGTCCGCCGGTTAGGCCAAATAATTTCATGCAGCCTACACTGTGGCTGGGACGCCGAACTTCTGTCGGCAGGTTGAGCCCCCCCCCCCCCCAAAAAAAAAAAAAATTATATGAGCCAGGACACGCTGTTGGAGTGCCAAACATTTTGTCTGCCGGTTAAGCCCGAAAATTTTATGCATATATTCTAGTTGCCAGAATGCCAGATAAATTGACTGCTGTTTAAGCACGGGTTTTTCAGCAAGACGCCCTCGTGTTGGGATGGCCAGAAATCTTGTCTACTGGTTAGATAAAAAAAAAAATTTCCTGCAGCCTTCTTTGCTGCTGGTTTGCGAGAATTATTACATGCTTGTTAAAGCCCGAAAAATCTTCTGCGGCCACCCAAGCTGCAGGTTTTGTCAAAACTATTGTTTGTGGTTAAGTACGGAAATTAATGAGGCCTCCTTTGCCGCTGGATTTTTAGACTATTGTCTGCCGGTTAAGACCGGACTTTTTTCTATGCAGCTTCTTTCGCCACATGAATTGCCTCGCGGCGTGTTGGCCATACCTTGGTCTGCCGGTTAAGCCCAAAGACAAGTTTTTAAATTTTATATGTAGATCACCTAGCTGAAGGATTGACGACCTTGACCTGCCGGTCATGCCCAAAAACAAAAAATTTATGAAGTATACCAGCGAAGATTACCGCCATAGTCCCGGTTACCAACATTATATCTTGCTGCTATGGAATTCTCTCTGGACGGACGAAAAGGTCCCATTATCACCACACAGGACATATTTTTCCCTTTGAAATACATGAGCCAAAAAATTTTCATTTAACAGGGATTTCAATACGTCTGCTGTCGTTACAGCTGTTCAACAATCAGGGAAGGGTCACATGGTTGTTAAACGCAACACGAATAAGGAGAACAACATAAGATGGATTCCGCCGTTTGGCCCCCTAAATTTTCTTATATCTCTTTTCATCCTTACATTTTGGAGTTCTCGCCATCCGGGCACATGCAGGTCACAGTCGGTTTTTGTTTTTTTCAACATCTTACGGGGTCCGAATTAAGGTTTTAACTCCCTGCAATGCGAGAAGATGTGTGTATGCATTAAGAGGTCATTCTTTAATACACTATCATACATAATTTTCATTCCAAGTTCATAAATTAAACTTTATTCGCAAAGGTAAAATAAGGGAATTTGCCGGACAGCTTTGGAGGGCACCACATGATTCGAGGTATTAGATTCACTTCATATTGTCTGTGCGGCCTCTATTTTTTGGGCCGCTTCGGTCATAGTTATCATACTTATAATCTTTGCTTAATACGTTAGATGGTACATATACTTATTAATAATTCTTCGGTGCGTCCTCTTTTATTTATGTTGGATTTATTGAATATAGTTATACCTGTTTCGAACGTTAATGCCGTTTAATTCCCTTCGGGGCAGGTTATCACAATCTTTTTGTGATTAAGGTTTGTTCTAAGTTTTCCTCTGCAACATTGGGTAACGCCGTTGGGATTTTAGGTGAGGTATCCATATAAACAACGGGTATTTTGAGTTATTCACTTCTTACATCTTCAGTTGCTACAGTGCGTGGGCCTCTCACGACATGTTCCCGTTGGATTACAGTTAGGATTAGGAGGGGTACTTAGGTATTATGTATTGTACTAATTCGGCTAAACCCATGTTCGGTGTTTGTACTTGGCTTAAAAACGTGGTGTTATTCGTGGTCCTCCAAGTTGTTCGTATCATGTGGCATTATGTATAATCGTATACTTTTTCTTCCTCGTCACTAATTAATTTATCTAGAGTTTTAATTACGATCTAAATACTTAAGCTGCTTAGATTTCCCAATTCATGCGATTCATTTAGGGGGGAATTACTTTAATCCCTCGCTGTCCTCGGTTCTTTGGGCGCCCGAGTTTCTTGTCACGTGCTAATAGGATTATGTTAGGGTTAAGCCTTTCTTACCTTTTAAGATCTTAGTCATGCGGATTATCCTCATTTAATTCTTATTAATTCCCCCCAAATGACTCAATATCTCCTTATCGCAGTATTTGTCATCAGTTCATTTATCCGTTTCCTTGTTGAAGGGTAGTCCCCGTCTTGTCTTCATGTCCGGATAATTTTATTCTTTATTGTTGCCTTCCTGTGGTAATTCTCGGTAGACGCACGCTTTTTTCCACTTATTCTGGCTTTATCTCTAGAGGTGGCACGGGCATGTCTCCCGACATACGCTTGTTTCTTCGTCCTCAATTGTTCCATTCTAGAAATTTTATAAGCAAACACGCCAGCTGGCAGCGTTACATTTCAACGCTCCTTGTGTGCCATTGTAATTAATTACAGGACTTATTGTAGGTTTCTCTCGCATTACGTTATCCTTCCTCATTCTTATTTTCAATTTATTCCACCTACCATTTGTAATTCAGGACGAGAATCCGGTCATCCCACCATCTTCATCGAGGAAGAGGACACGGGTGGCCTCCACGAAAGGACACGGGTGGCCTCCACGAGAGGACACGGGTGGCCTCCACGAGAGGACACGGGTGGCCTCCACGAGAGGACACGGGTGGCCTCCACGAGAGGACACGGGTGGCCTCCACGAGAGGACACGGGTGGCCTCCACGAGAGGACACGGGTGGCCTCCACGAGAGGACACGGGTGGCCTCCACGAGAGGACACGGGTGGCCTCCACGAGAGGACACGGGTGGCCTCCACGAGAGGACACGGGTGGCCTCCACGAGAGGACACGGGTGGCCTCCACGAGAGGACACGGGTGGCCTCCACGAGAGGACACGGGTGGCCTCCACGAGAGGACACGGGTGGCCTCCACGAGAGGACACGGGTGGCCTCCACGAGAGGACACGGGTGGCCTCCACGAGAGGACACGGGTGGCCTCCACGAGAGGACACCAACGTGGAGGAACAAGGACGCAGCCAGCAAGGACGCGGGCAAAGCCAGCTCGCTATGCTTCCCCCTCTTCGGGGACATCATCTGGGGACTCGGAGGTGGAGGATGAGTATGTCCCGACGATCAGATCAGCAGAAATAGCCGAGGCCGGATCAGCGTCACTACCAACACTAATTTCAGCAGAAGACTGGGCAACGCTACAGGAACTTATCACGCAGGCTCGGGATTCCTCTGTGGACGCGAGCAAACACGACGTAGGAAACGCCGTGGATGTCACTACTGGGCAGCCCTCCCCTACAGTAGGACGCCCGCGACAAAGAGCCAAGGGCGCCACGTCACGGCGACACGACAGTTAACACCAGCACGTCCACGGACGGTGAGTACCAATTTGAGAGCACGACCACGCCACTCATCACCTGGCAGGGGGCACAGCAGGGCACATACATCCCACGGCTCGGCGAACATGTCCCTCATTCCATCAGAGAGAAGGTTTGGGCGGATAGGTACGTGGATTTCAGGGATCTGCTAGGATATGAACGGGATGCAGGGCGCCTCGAGACGCGACCTGCACCTGCCTCAGATACACAAGCATCCGCTAAAAAGCTCCCGCCTCTAACACCGGATCAGTGGGAGCATGCTTTTGACATATATGCAACGATCTACCTAGAAAAGCACCCGGGGGCAGGGCAGGAGCTGTTCACATATGTTAGATATGTAAAAACAATGAAAACGTCCCTCATAGGTGACTGGATGTGGTATGACGAGGCTTTCAGGTGGGACAGGGAAAGGTCGGGCTGCCCATGGCGAGCTTACAGACTAGACCTGGAACTGAGGTCAGTACAGCGCATACAGCAGGAGGGTATTATGCGTCTTGTCTCGGGGCGAACGTCAGAAAATTTTCAAGCCAATGCACGAGGCGCGGCAGTTCCCCCGGGCTACTGCTACGCTTTCCACACGAGGTCCGTGCTGCCGACAACCCACTTGTGCGTTTAAACATTTTTGCCCACGATGTTACAAGCGACACCCCGCCTACAATCCCTGCTCACAGGCGCGCACAGGATACGGGGAGGAGCGGCAACAACGTCACCCCCCACAGGATAAGTATACAAAGAACACCGGAATTTCGGACGTCCGTGGACGTACCAACGCCGGTCAACGCAGACGCACTTTATGTTTTACTGGTGGGTTACCCATTATGGGAATACATTGTGAGGGGCTTCAAAAGGGGTTTCCGGCTTGGCTTTGAAGGGACGCGGACCCCTCTCTTCAAGCAACCCTTCGGACACGATGGACCGCCCACATATTGTGGGACCAATACTAGACAAAGAATTGAGACCGGGCCGAATTGCGGGCCCTTTTGAGGTCCCACCGCTCCCGAACTTTAAGTGTTCCCCCATAGCTTTGAGAGAAAAATCAACGCCAGGTAAGTTCAGGCTCTTGCATAATCTTAGCTTCCCTTATTCACAACTAAGAGGGAATGCCAACATTCCTAAGGCGACTTCAACCGTGCACTACCAGAACATCAATGATGCCATCGAGTTGGTTGTCAGGTGTTCGCCAGGGGCGTTCCTGGCAAAGTGTGACATTGCAGAAGCATTTCGGATCGTACCAGTACACCCAAGCGATTATCATCTCCTAGGTTTTCATTACGATTGGCGTTACTATTACGAGAAGATGCTCAGTATGGGAGCTGCACCCTCCTGCAGGATCTGAGACTTTTTCAAGTAGTCTGAAATGGATCCTCGAGGAGAAGTTCAACGTGCGAGGTGTTGTGAAGGTACTTGACGATTTTCTCTTCGTCAGCAGTTCCTTTGAAGGATGCCAGCGTGACCTGCGGGTGTTCACCGCTCTCTGCGAACGACTGGGGGTTCCCCTGTCGCCACACAAGACTGCGGGACCGTGCACTCGGCTTATGTTCTTAGGCCTCGAAATAGATGCATGTAGGATGGAAACCAGACTTCCAGAGGACAAGCGGACGAAGTACCAGGCAGAAGTAGAGACGGCGATGGGGAAGAAGTCACTTCCCCTGCGAGACCTTCAGTCGATCATAGGAAGGCTGCAATTCGCCACAGCGGTAATTCCGGGAGGACGGGCTTTCCTAAGACGACTGCACACGCTCACTCGTGGAGTACAGCGTCCCTTGCGTCTATGCTTACTGGACGCTGAGGCTCAGCTAGACCTTGTAGCCTGGCGCTCCTTCCTCAACAATTTTAACGGTGTTACAGTATTTCCCCCTGATGGAGGATGGGGGTCAGCTGTGTGTCTATCGATGGGCGCGGACGCCTCTTCTAGAGGGTACGGGCTCACATTGGGGGCATCATGGTTCCGGGGTACGTGGCCAGATTCCTGGCGATGGCTCAACATAGCCCTGCTGGAGCTTTATCCTTTCTATATGGGTATCGCCATCTTCGCTCAGGTATTGTCCAACAAGAGGCTAGTCTGCAGGTCTGATAATAGCGCCGTGGTAAATGTGCTTTCTTCACTGTCTGCCAAGTGCCCAATTCTTATGCAAATAGTCAGGCCTCTGGCCGTACTCCTGCTTACGCATAATATCACACTTATCCCATCACACATCCCCGGCAAGCTTAATACAGTTTGTGATGCCCTTTCACGCTTACAGGTCCTGCCGCACATGTTCCTCAGGGAAGCGGGCCATGCAGAGAAACCAGCCGACGTGCCACAAAACTTACTGCCCTGCAACTTTGAGGACCCTACTCAATTCACTGCAACCTGCAACACGGAAGGCATATCAGGCAAAATGGGCGGAGTACGTGGCCTATGTCGCGGGGGAACGGCGTGAGATTCACCCTCTTGATGCCCCAACTTCAACACTTGCGAACTTCTTACAGTCTCTACTTACGCGGGGTTTGGTCTTCCGCTCGCTGAGCACTTACCTAGCGGCTATAGCTTTCATCTTCAAACTGAATGGTCGGAAGGACCCCACACGTAAGTTTGTTATCACTCAGTTGCTAAAAGGAGCAAGAAAAGCTGCGCGGCGGTCAACGATACGGCGTCTTCCTGTGACGAGGCGCCTACTACACCGTCTTCTACGAGCCCTGGGAAAAGTATGTAAGTTGGAGCACGATAAAAAGTGCTACAGGACAATTTTTTCCTTGGCTTTTCACGCATGCCTGCGACCTGGGGAAGTAGTCTACGCTGCGAACGGTCAACACACTCTCCGGCTGGAACAGGTAACACTTACAAGCACAGGGCTTAATATACTACTCGGTTCCTACAAACACAATGTGGGTCGCACGCCTACGCTATCTTTGAAGGCGAACACCAATAACAGGTACTGCCCGGTCCGAGCCCTCTCAAAATACCTCGCCATACGGGGTACGGCGCCAGGACCCATATTCCTCAATGCACACGGCGCCCCTGTGACGAGGCAAGACTTCTTGAGGACACTACGAGGCGCCCTGGCCGCTTTGGATCTTCCTCCCAACGACTACGCCCCACATTCCTTCCGGATTGGACGGGCCACGCAGCTGTCACTTGACGGGCATGTACAGGACACGATTAAGGCCGTCGGACGGTGGAGGAGTGACGTTTTTCACTCTTACGTCAGGCAAGATGTCATCTCGCTTCCTCATTGAAAACATTCTGCGGCCAGCGGGCACTCGCCCTTCGGGGGGGGGGGGGGTCCGGCCTGCTGGCTCTGCGGAGTGGAGGTGCAGCACCGGCCCCTAAGTATTACGCTGTCCGCAGCTACTTACTCTCACTTGTAAGAGTAATGTTAAATTTGTCCTATAGGTGTATTCTACAGCTACTAGTAATTTACCATTTCACATTATGTCTGGGATTGGCACATTATTTCTGTCATGTGTTAGGCCACTATATGCTACTCTTTAAGCCCTGATTCTACTGGAAAATTATGTTAAACGTTTGCCTTACTTGTACCAATAGTTAATAAGGATTTAGCGTTCTGCAGACCATGTTCTATTTAGTTACCGGATATAAGCATATGTATTAATGTTATTAAGTCATTGTAGTCAAGTTATACTGTATTTATGCTGTTGTAAAATTAAAGTTACCTGTTTCATTAACATGGTCTGAAAAATTTATTTATTTGTTTCTACTAAAATAATTAAATAGGTCCCAATGCTGTCGGTGTCTTATTCCTCCATTATCAGAAATAAAGAATAAGTTATGTTATCAATGAAGCATTTGACTTCAGAAAGAATATGAATATATGTAAGTAGTATCTCGTTACTGGAAAATTAGTACCTCCCAGCTTGCTTGTTAATTCATGTAAATTAGTGAAATGCAAGAGCTATTGAATATTGTAATTTACCTGCTAAAGTATCTAGGTAAATTCCCAATTGTTTTGAAATAATAAATCACCTTCTGTGATTTTAGTTAGTAATCTTCTTCAAAGATTAATTTGGCAACTGAGCTAGGGTCAGCCTCTCACGAAGTCAGTGGAAAGATGGTTCAGTGTGGATTGGTTAACAACTCTAGGCGGGCGGCGGCTCCTGGAGCAGAGGCGGGACATCGAGGCCTTGCTGTGGTATTTTAAGGTATCACCCCAGGACATGGGCAGTCTTACCCTTGTGCCCCGAACACCCACGAAGCAACCAACCAGGGTGAGTGGACTCCGGCTAGGGTGCCGGACGTCATCGTGTGGTACCACTTCCCCAGTGGCAGATTTGGAGATGGTGGGTGGGTTGACCGAACCCGTGAGAGGATAAGCTACGGCCGGAAGGACACATGTGCGCGTGTTCCTTTTGCCTCTCCGGGGACTTGTTTAAGCCAGGCATGCCTCCCCCGTGATATTTATTTTCCATGTGCGTATGACAAAGGCTGGTCGTCTCATCTTCAGACGGTATCCATGTTCTTTGTTGGCATGCCCTTATGTTTATTTTATTTCATGTTATATTTTAGAATATCTTTTTTTATATATCTCCATGCGTACTTTTTTTGTTTCCAACGTAGGCCACATATATGAATTTTAGATTATATTCAGTTGTAATATATTTTAGGGTTACTGCTGTTGGGCCTTTGCAGCCCATGCCCTGTGGCTGGGTCGCTAGGCCCTTTAGCTAGATCAATACCCTTATCCCCCCCCCCTATCCTCCCCGAAGTGGCAAGGGGAGTTAAGGGAATTGAAATAAGTTTACCGAGGTAAAATACACACACAAAGGGACGAGGTAGCTCAAGCTATTCTCACCCCGTTCAGTACATCGTGTTAATATATACAGACACACATCACAAACAATAAACATATTACCAAACATTGAGAGATAAACATATACATTTCCTCCTTTACACACGTAGTATGGTATCAGATGTACACAAATACTTTTATGACCTAGGTATACTGTATAGACAATTTGCAAGAGACGTGCAGATAATTCAACAAAAAATTACAGTCTTGGTGCAAAATTCTTATATCTCTTAATAATATCAACCTTTCCGTTGTGACACATCCTGGCTATTTGTTCAGGAACAGTCCTTATCTCAGTGTTTCTATATACATTAATCAACGGACAATCAAGAACATAATGGGCAAGGGTGTGAGACTGTTACGAACCCGGATCCAGCGTCCGAGCCCGGAGCTGTGACAACCACACCATCTGTGGGTCAGCTCCCGAATCATTTCAAACGGACGACGACACCTGGTGAGGACGACGTGTACTGGCCTCGAGGGCCAGTTTCCAGTCTGGTTCAGCGCTCAACACAGCCGCTGCTGACCTCTGGTGAGGTGGTGCTCAGACACCAGCGCCATCTATGGAGTGGATAGGTGGGCGTTTGTGTCTGAGCCTGTAAGTGAGGTGCCTTAGTGTGTCCCAGTTATTGATGACGTGTCTGCTTACAGAGTCGACCTGGGACTGCTGTGATGGAAGTTGAGGTAGTCTACCCAAGGCAGCTGTCTCCATACCTTGTGCTTTGCTGCAGCAGCTGTGAAGTCGTCCCCCGGAAGAACACTGTGGTGTTACCCTGCCAGTGGAGTGGCAGTAGAAGGATTACCCGGGACCGACTGCTGGAGACGATTATCCACTAGGGTATTGAGGACAGGAGAGTGATTGGTGGTATCACACTAGGCTCCTGTCTAGGGCGTTACCCTTATATCGTTCGTGGAGTGGCCTGACCAGCCTTGCTGATCCGGAACCTGCCAGCAGACCGGCTGGACTTGTGGTTGACGGCCTCCACGGCGGTGCCCCCAGTGGAGCTGTGTTTTGGCTGGCCTGTGTCTGGGGTAGACTCAGCTTGGTGGAAGGATTCGTCAAGAGACCACGAGGATCAAGAGCACCGAGGACTCGGCACCGAGAGCCTGGATCCAGAGTCTTCAGCAGAAGACCATTGTGTATTTCCCCTGTACAAGTGTTAATACCCCTCCCCCTGTGCATTTTTTTTATATATATAATTTATTTGGTGATGGTAACAATTATAGTCTTAAGTTCTTAACTTTCTTTCCCTTCCCCCTTTAAGTTTCTTGCGTCACGGATCACATCCCTTGAAAGCCACTACTGGCTTGGGGTCGGATACAACTCCCTCTAACATCAGAGTAGGAACCCCGTTGCGTCCCGAGAGGGCCGTAACAGAGACCTTAACATACCACATAGTTTACACTGTGTCATTATCATGAACACCTATCCCATATTCCCAGTAATATTTGTACCCAAGTCTGAGCCGCATGTACAGTCACTCCAAGTATTTCTCCTTTTACCATAAAAGTCCTATTTTACCATATAAGTGAAATGGGTGTTTTTGACTCTTACATGTAGTGTTGCATGGTTTGACTTTTCTCATACATTATACTACTTCTCTCCACTTCTGCCTGTGCCTGAATATTTCTGATTTTGCTTCTTATTTGTCTCCATGTGAATTCATTTAATGTCAACTTGTGGTTTTGATGTGGCACGTTTGGCCAAGTCATCCGCCACCTCGTTGAGCACTAGTCCAACATGAGATGGAATCCACATGAATTTCACACTGACCTTTCAGCTGTATCTCGGTTATTCTTTTCTTACAATCCTCAACTATGGACATGAAGACGGTTTCGACTGTTTAAGGAATCCAGTGCTCCTTGGCTATCGACAAATACAAAAACATTTTTGTCATCATGACGTACTTCCTCCAAACACGCCAGAATGGCCTGCAGTTCAGCTTGTGTGGATGATATATAATTACTAAGTTGGAGTTCAATTATCCTGTCCATAGTCCCAAACTCAGTATATTCCCTTATTAGGACACCACACCCGGCCCTGCCATCCTCCGCCACCGACCCGTCACAATATACAAGTAAACTGTTGCCTCTTGGTAACCGAGATATCATGCTTCCATACAAACACCGTAATTGTCCCGGTTCATGATGAATCTTTTTCACCTTCAGGGGTACAATTTCGACGTCTATTTTCTGTACTTTCCAGGGAGCAGACCTATTTCACTGGTGAGAGGGTTTACAGCAGTTAAGTACATCATATTCCCTGAGGTCATGAGCTAATCCCC